CTGGTAAGTCACATGTGCGAGTGAAATGGAAATGCAATAAATGTTGACTCTCTTTCATACACACACACACACACACACACTCAAATGCGTGAGTGGTGTGTGAATGTAAGTGGGGAGGGTGTGCGTGTGTACTGATGTACTGGTGTTTGGTTTTTGTTTGTGGAGCGTTCGGGCAGCGGATGTTGTAAATATTTGCAAATAGCCGTCACAGTTCCCAGACCAGAAACTCGACCCGAAACTCCTCATTCCATCAGCTCTGACCCTCTGACCCCACGCCACGCCCACCTTAACCCGCTCTCGACTGGCCGCTGTGGAGTGCAAAAAGGGGTTTTTAGGGCCAATTATTATTAATTGCTTTACAGATACAGAACAACCGACACGCCAAACCCCAAAACGGCAAAGTAACGAGAAAAAAAGGATATCTCATGATCTCATGATAGCAGGAAGCCAGAAAGAAAGTCCTGTTGCAGTTCTAATTATCTGGTCCGATTTGGACAAAAGTCATTGGCGGCTTAAAGCCATCTCGGACCTTAAAGACGATGGCTGGCTTGGCCCACTTGGCGGAAAGTGGCTCACAAAAATGGCTAGCAATAATAATAATAACAATAAACCAGAGCTCAGTAATAGGGATAGAGTGGCAGCCAAGTGCAAGCTGTTGCATAATGCTGGAATATACATACATATATACTGACTTTTTGGCCAGATGGATGGATGGATGGCCCTGGCAATTGCCAAGCGGATTTTCCACTCGAGAGCGCTTTCTGCCCAGCCTCCGCCGGAAAAGTCTTGAGCAGAGTCGAGTCGAGTCGATGCACCGAAGCGTTCAAATTTTTAATCATAATATTTTAAGCAATATAATTGCAAAAACTAACAAAAGATGCAGTAAGCAAAAAGCGGCCAATGCCAGAAATGCCAGAAAATTCTACCAATAATTTGGCTCGTCGAGTTGTGCGCAGAAATATACTTTTTGCATCTGAATGAATCGATTGTTAAATTGGATTATTCGACTATGAATAGTTTTCCCAGAGAACAATATGAAATTGTGTTAAATCAGGGAAAAAGTCGAAGGAGCATCTTCAAGCGAGAAATAATAAAGCAGGTCAGTTCGGGCATTCAATTCAATTAAATTAATAGGGATGAGCCAGGGCTTAAGTAAGAATTTAAAAAAAATTAATTTTAAAACGAGGCAGAGATTGAAATTATGAAAAGACTATGAAAAAAGTAAAGCCAGTAGATGGTGGGTAATTTTTGTAAAGATTATCTCTTAAAGATAAGTTTGTTTAAAAAAATTATAATTGTATATTATATAAGTCCAAAAAATAAATAATGAAAGTAAATTTTTTTAAAGAAGAAATTACATAATACTGAGTATTTGATGCACCAGATGATGCATTCTCATGCAACTGAAATGTATTATTTTATATTTGTAACCTTTTTTTCGATAAAAATTTAAATTCTCAAGGGTTTTTTGAAACTGGTGTATCCAAATTTTTATATTTTAAAAACTATTTATAATAGAAGATTCTTTATTAAAAACTTAAAAAGATAATTCAAACAGCTACACTTTTATGTCTTTGTAGTTTAAAAGGACAGAAATATGATCAACATATGAAAGATATAAAAGCATAGGATAACAAAGTACTACAAAATATATTATTTCAAGAAATATTCTTGAAAAATAGACAAACCACTCTTAATTATGAAATATCTTAAGACCCACCTTTTAATTTCAATTCAATACTTATCCATTTTCCATTTAATGGTAAAAAAGTACCAAAACTGAAAATAAGAAACCGGAAATGCCGCTCTGGAGGAGCAACAAGTCTTAACCCTTGAAGTGCCCATCGAGCCCAAAAGTGTGCTACGAAAATGTTGTGTTCGATGCCTGCAAGTATGCCATACAAGTTCTCACTGCCCCAGCAACATGTTCGCCCTGCAACATGTTTGAGTTCCACATCGCCATTTGGATGCTGTTTTCAAAATAGAAGACATAAGTTCAAGTTTTGGTTTTTTTCGTTTTTTATTTGAATTTTTTTATTTTTGCATTAAATCTTTATTTAATTCTTTAGCGCTTTTGGCGCATTTTTAGCGTTTCTCTAGTTACGCGTGTACGCTTTTGTTGTTTTTTTTCGCCAAGTTCCACTCGATTTTCAATTGGTTTTTTCATAGATTTTTCTTTTTTTAAAACGTTTGTAATAATAAATATGCATAACGTTACTTACAGTTTCGCTTAAATTAATATAATTAATTAGTAATAATCAGAATAAAGTGTAAACTCTGTAAATGCCTGTTGTTGTTGGTATAGTTCTTTCGTTTCTTAACTTTTTCTTTTTCTCAATCGTTTTGTCGTGTCTGCGTTCTTTTCGTTTTCTTTTCTTTTTATAGTTTATATAAAATATCACATTTTAAGCTTTTTTTTTTTAGGTTGGAAAACCAAATGTGTTTTGAACCAAAAATCGCGGGGGAACAAAGCAAAGCAAATCTAGTAGCAAGAGACCCAAAGAACGCAAACACTCGGATCGGGGATCCTGTTTCCAGGATATATCTATTCTGCCAGCCATTTCCTTGGCGTAAGCCCATTCTTCATTTCATTTATGATTTTCTTAGTTTCTTGTTTTTATTTTTGTTTTTGTTATACATTTAATATATATTCTGTGGCTTGTGGTGCTAAAACTTGATTTTTTTGCTTGACTTTACGATTTATCCAATATCTAATGCGTTTCACTTTCATTTAATATTTATTTAGACATTTAAAAGTCTGCAAAGTGCAGCTTGGGAATTTAAAATTGTAATTTCTCATTGTATGCAATTGTTTGTCTGTCTCGGTTAGTGTGTGTCTTGTTGTTCTTGATGCTGTTTCTGTTTCTGTCGATGAAGAAAGTGCCCCAAAAGCACGCCACACTTTCTTTCAACTGCCATTTCCATTTAGTTACTACAACATTAATTTGCTTTGTATATTTCTTTTATTTTATTTTTATTTTTTTTTTTATTTCCCCTACAGTGCTTTTTTATTTTAATCTTCTTTTTTGCATGTCAAAAGAAACAGGTATGGAAAGAGGCAGGCTAAGGATTTAAAAAAGTGTGACCAGACTTGAATAGCTTCAAAAGAAGAGGAAAAATATTTAGAAAAACCAAAAGCGTTCGTGGAAATTCGTGGAGTTTTTTGTTTGAAAAGTTTTGGGGAAACTGGAAATGAAATTCTTCTAACAATTCTTGCTATTTTATTATCCACACCAGTGGGTGTGTGGGTGGTGGTGTAGACGAAGATGTGTTCGTGTGGAGACAATACCATTTATCGTAAGTATACATATAAGGTATGTATTCATAGGCTTTAATCGCTTTTATTTAATGAATTTGCTTAAGACACATTTTTTTTGAATAAGTAAGTGAAACAACTGGCCAACTGTTTGGTTTTACTGCCTTTTTTCAACTACATGCACATAAATTACAGATTTATCATTTAAATGCTTTTAATTTTCGTATTTCTCTTATATTTTTGTTTCTCTTAATTTTTTGCAAATTCAAAGTGGACAGGCAAATGACAAAATCTTATTTATTTTGCTTTAATTTTTACTTGCCTTGTTGCTGTTGTTGTTGTGCGTCAATTAAATTGTTTAAGTGTATTTTTTAAATTTGTTTATTATTTACAATTTATTCAACATTCAGAGCTTAAGTTACCACACACAAAAAAAAAAAAAATTCCAAACACGTTTTATTAAATATCGTTTGCTTTTATTATTATCAATTATTAATTATTAATATTCGTATAATTATAATCCACAATTTTTACTCTATGTACAAGCATTGCTATTTTATAAATAATAAAAAAAAATTGTTTATATTTAGATTTTCGTATATATATACTCATATAAATGCAATATGATCATGTTTTCGTAATTACTCATTAGCGTAGACAACTTGGTGGTGCGCAATCTTCTAGATTCTAGTTAACCACTTAATTATCCACAAAAAAATTTATCGCTTCTCGCATAGTCTACTTCGGATGCAATTAAAAAAAAAAATTGGCATATAACATAGATTCGTATATACATGAATAAATATATATCGCTTTATATTTAAATATATATAGATATATATGTATTTGTTTATGTTGCGTATGTGTATGTGTGTCTTGTGTGAAGACAGGGGTGTGTGTGTTTTTCTGGGCGGGTTATATATGCTCTATATTCTAGACGTTAATTATATAGCGGTGCCAGATCTGCCAGACGGTTAATACATATATTTTGAATATATATATCGATCAATTCTGTGCTTAGTAACGATAAGTTTTAAAATGTACCCCCAGGTGACCTAAAAAAAACACTTTGATATACATCTATGCAACATACACCATTCATCAAGTATCGGTAATCGGTTATCGCTTATCGTTTACCGTTTTGTGGCCTATCGTTAATCGTTTACTCTCTTCAATGGGGGGTTCGCCTATCTCTGTGATACTTTCCATTCCGTTAATCCACTTGATGCTTCTCCTTTTAGTTACTTTGTTGTAGGTACCTTGCGTTTCGCTATAATGCCCAGTTATCGTTTATCATTTATCATTTATCGCTTATCGGTTTTATCGACTTTTTCTGTATCTGGTTACAACTCTTCCCCCCATTAAAACCCCCAAAAAAAATACTCATATAACCTACTTACAACATATCGGCTATGGAACCGTAATGCTGTTCCTGGAAAATCGGACGACAGCACTCCTCTACGGCATCGTACTTGTAGTGACGCCGATTTCGATTACGATTTCGATTTCTCAGACTCCTCTGATAGTTAATTCCCCCCACATAGATCTTTTCTTCATCTATTTCCTCCACCTCTTCCTCCTCCTCCTGCTCCTCTAGGTCATCATCCAGCCCCTCCAGATCCTGCTGCTCCCGATTAAGTTCGTCCAGCTCGAAGGGATTGACTCGATGCTGGGACGGTAGGGAGTAGCGCTTCCGGGGCGGCTGCAATGATGACGTAGATGATGACGTAGACGCTGATGACGTCAGCTGCTTATGCTGATAGAAGCTACTGTAGCTATTGGGTTGATGGTAATAGTGGATGGCATGGCATGAGGCAGTCTTTGTATTGTATTCCTGGAATAAAGAATAGAGATTTGGTAAGTTAGAACCTTGGATTAATAATAATAATAATTTAGAAAATGTTATTTTAATACAAAGATAATAAATTTTTTAAATATTTGTTATCTAGTATATACAAAGTAGAGATAACGTTAACTCTATGAGAAGCGAGGAGAAGAGATGTGGTTTTTTTCTACATACTAGTATACCCTTTTTTATATTTAGATACCATATCAATATATGGGTTTTATATTCCCTCCACACTTGAATAAACAGAGTTTATTTTAAAAGAGAGAGATTTTAAAAACAATTTATCTAGAAATTGTATAGAGTTTCCAGGAAGACCTCTTAGTGAAATCCTAAAAACCTTTCTGAACTCTGCGATCTTCGGGGAAGTTCAACAAGTTCGGCACCAAGGCGGTAGGGCGGCCAGGCGGCTTCTGGTCAAGTCAAGTGTGGAGATTCAAGCAATTGACTTTTGGCAGCTTCTTCTTCCATCCACTTCCGGTTTCCTACCCTCACTCCCGTCGTCGTTCGTCCTCCTCTTTTATTCACTTTCCTGGCCTTTGGCGAAACGAGAACGAGTTTTACTAACCAACTGAATATTGTCTGCGCTAAAATTTGTTGCCACAATTTGTTGCACAAATTTTGTGCTGCTGCTTTTGCTTTTGGCGCAATGCCTTTTACATCTGTGGCCATGTGTGAGTGTGTCTGTGTGTGTGTAAATAACCAACATAATGGCATAAAGGTCGCATTCTCATAAAGTTGCCGCTGACTTTCAGTTTGGTATCCTGTGTACTGCGCCCTTCCTGCCTCCTGACTCGTGCCTCCTGCCTCACTGGCTGCCTCACTTTTTCGTCGTCGTGTGCGCCCCGAATATTATCAATAAATTGCATCTGACTGCCAAGCAGACAACAAAACGGTAGCCCTATCTGCACAGGACCTCTGCACATCCTGCGCCCCCAACCACCCCAATACACTTTCCATTTTTCACCTCACCCACGTAGTGGGGTGAGGGTTCAATGCCACCTGACTAACCAGTTATTAAGAGACAGCCAGAAACGACTTAAGTACAGGGCGAAAAAATATAAATATTTAAGGGAGATCTATAATAACTTTTGTTTTATATTAAAATTTATATTTTAATAAAAAAAATATCAAAGAGATTGAAAATGATAGAGACTATTAAAAAAATATAACACTACTGATATAACAGTGTAGTTTAGGCTCAGACCTCGCATAGAACCGCACCTTGTTCTAATTTATTTATTGTTGCATGCATGTACTTTTATTGGGTGCACCCCCACCCTTGCCACCAGCACACCACCCCCTTTAACGCTTGACCGCAATATTGGAGAAGACCCAGCCAGGACTGGACCCAGAGACCAGGTCCCAGGGACTTTAACAATTATGTTTTGCCGGGTCCGGTGAAAGTCAACACTGGAAAATGTCTGACAATTTGATGCACTTGTCGCTGCAAAATCGAGGGTGGATGGTGGTGGGATGGCTTTGCCATTTGGTGCCAAAGTTATTAAGCACTTTAGCAGCCGGTTATTTTGGGGCAAGGATAAACGATGGGTGTGTGCCCAGAAGCAAAGAGGGTTAAGGGCTCGGGTGGCTAACACCCAACCGGCAGCTGACCCAAACTGGCTGACTGGCTGACCGGCCGGCCGACAGGGAGATGAGTTTTAAAAGCGGCTTAAACAGGCAAATGTATTTTGAAACAGTCAGCCCGAGTCTGAAAAGTGTCCGCCCTGTTTGCTCTACAGGGGAAATAATATTTAAAAGGAAAATTTAGGAAAACAATTAAAGGGAAGTATTTTAGATTTTTCAGAGGGAATGTTATTAGAATTTCTAAATATTGGATATATTATATATAGATAGATATATTACAGAAGATATATTATTTTCAAAACTATTGTATATACTAATTAATGAAATTTTATAAATAATTGAATACTTTATAAAGCACATTGCTTTGGTTCTGGCGCCTTTACTGGTATTCGTTATGCTTTGGTCCCTCTATGGTCTCTATGATCTCTTGGTATTTGGTACATATTTTACAGATTTTTAATTTTTGTTTAAAATCTATTATTAGAAAATAAACAGATCTTCTCTCAAAACTGGAGGAGTTTTATTCGAAATTTTGTAACAGCTTAAGTAACATTATTTTCAAAACTATATTCCTTTTAAGGAATATTTCTTTGGCTATGGTCTACATATTCTATGCTTTGGTCTCTCTGTAGCTCTGTTATTTAAACTTTAAATCAGCTATTAATTCTACAATAATATTATATCTTAGCTTCAGAATTCTAATAAAAATGTATACTCCAAAAAAAAATTGTTCTCATCTAAGAACTAAAAATCTAAAAAACATATGTTAAATTTTTTGCTCTGTGAAGGACTGTCCCCCCTGTTGACTTTTTTGTTTCAAAATTTATTGATGGCGACGTGAGTTTTTCATGCCTCGGAAAATCGAAGAGGTAAGAGGAGGGTAGCGGGGCCTTATGGCTTGTGGCATGAGGCATGGGGCATGGGGCAAGGGGTGTCTGCAACGTGACAAAACCCATTATAGATGCGACCGCAAAGATAACACTCGCTTTTCGGTCCAGACTCGACTTCTGATGGATGCCCAAACACAAGTGTCAGCTGGGGCAAGGTGAAAGTGGGCGGAGAAAGTTATAGAGAGAGAGAGAGAGGGAACGGGAGAATGGGAGGCAGGCAGAAGGACTTCAGCCTGGCACCCCAAAGTTTCCATAAATTTCATTTTGTAACCATCAAAAAGTGAAGTCAACGATAAATTGAATGGCTGCATGATTGACTGAATGAGTGAATGAGTGAATGAATGAATGAACGAAAGGATGAATGAACGAATGAGTCAGTGTCAGGTGAAAGGGGGTCGCAGGGCAGGACATCGTGGCTGTCGTTTGCTTGTCGGTCATTGTGTGGCTCGTTGCGTTTCGGCCAGACATCAAAATCCACAAAAAATCGTTTTCAAAAATGAACAAAAATTTATGTATATTTTGGGGTATATGCATGGGGCTCTCCACAGGAGAGATAAATGGCCTGAAGGACGAAAAAAGTGCTTACAGTCGGGGTGGAAAAAGTTCAACTGCAGCCAGGTATTGTCTAAAAAACGGATTTAATCCCAAATCTGCTGATAGCCGTAGCCAAGCTTTACTCAATGGCTTAAATATATTATTTTCAAAATAGTTCAACAGTTAATGAAAAAGTGTACATTTTATTGTTATTATTATCATCAATAAAAGTTAACCGTAATTATGGCTTGTTGCGAAAATAAAGAATATATATTTCATAAAGTGGTACATACAATTTATGAAATCTGTTGATAAGTAATGACGATGATTTTAAGGGGATATTTCAGATTTATTCGTTTTAATTTTTAAAAAATATAAACATTGTATTACATATTTAAATATTTTGCAGAGCTCGGTGCATTACTTTTTCTTACAAGAGTAAAGAAATTAATAAAATACTTCAAAAAGTGGCTTTAAAAATAATGAAGAAACTTTCAAATATTAAATATTAAATATTATAAAATATATTAAAAATACATTTCACAATAATAATGTCTTTTACAAACTTCAAGTCTATTGAAAATTTTAACTAACTAAAAGGACGTTCACTAAAGAATAGTCACATAGACTAGAGAATAGTAAATATACCATAGAAGACTATAGAAAGTACTTTTGAAATCTCCGGATTCGGAGATGCTGGAATGGAGATTGACGCGTCATTCTTTATCGGACTCGAGAGGTTGCACTTCTGAAGACAATAAAGCCACGGGCTGATTCTAATCTCTGTTAGGGATGCGAGAACTTTATTATAGGCAATCGAAGTGAAGCATATGCGGTGAAGAGTATACTTCGAACCTCGAGAATGGCACCAAATTTCCGCCTTTGATCGAGATGAGAATGGCATCTTGGTGGACTTGGCTGGTGGTTCTATTCCCAGTGAGTATTCTAATATTGTTTTGGTACAAAAGTTTTGATTTTTATTTCTATTTACTATTTTCATTCGATAGAGCTGTCTACACCAATCATCCCACCTTTATAAGAATGATGATCCGAAATATAGAGGGAATAAATAAATCGAAAATAAGGAAAGAGTCAGCGCGTATAAGTGAGCTTTTCAGAAAAGAATATGGAAAGAAAACATATGCATACATAAAAGATTTATTCTTTGAAGTTTGAACTTTGCTTTTGTTAAATTTAAAGTTTTAAATAAAATTAAAATAATGATTGGAATAACTCAAGTTCAACATTCTTCAATATCGTTGTCGTTTTACATTTTTTAAATATATTTTCTCATTTTTCAGAGCCCCTTTACCTCCAAATACCACAAAAAAACAATTAAATAAAACCGCTCTATCAAAGTAATATCCACTATTTTTTCGCCCCCAGCTGTGGGGGAAAAAATGTGCGTAAAAAAGCGTCAATATAAATATAAAACAGGCGACAACAACAATGCCAAAAAGTCAAAAGCCGTCAAAAAGCATCATTGAAGCAGGGGCATGAGGGGGAAGAGGGGCAGATAGTGCGAAAAAGGGATATGTCGGGGGGTGTATGGAGGCGTAGAGGCGTGGAGGAGTGGCAGAGGTAAGCGCCAACAGCTCCATAAAACGAAAGTCTGACGTGGGCGTCACCTTTCTGGCCAAGGCGTGCCACAGACATGTGACATGTGCCATGGCAACACCCCGCCTCTCCTGCCTCCCTGGCCAGGGGGGAGTGGCAGGAATCACCTGCCTGCCCAGCCGACAATAGTGCGGAAATATTAAATCTGCGCGTCAGCCCCAAACGAGTGAAGGTACAACCGAAAAAAAATGATAAAAAAAAACATTTTGAAGTGAAAATATTCTCGTAAAAAGTAAAAAGAACGTATCGGGATTCGGCAGGATTCAGGAGGATAAAGGGCGTGTTTAAGTCTTTATATAAATTGCAATAAACACGAATGGGGTCGTAACCATCAGCAGGATGATGCCAGGATACAGGAAG